GAACAAAAATTGTCACCTTATATGACAATTGATTGATAAAGGAATTTTCCCACAATTATATAAATAGGCCGCATGATGTCATTTAATTTCACTTAGTCTTACCTCTCAAGAGAACATCCCATCAAGGGTGGACTCTAGTTTCGACCTCATCCTCAAATACTGAATCCCAATCAAGATGAGGTTGAAACTAAGGTTTCTAAATGAGATATTCCTTTGGTAAGCAAGTCTAAGCGAAATTCAATGACAGTCCACCATTGACGAGCTTGGGTTTTAGAAGGAAAAGCTAAATGGAATCCTGAAGCCTGCTCATCTCAATGCGGGATAGCTCAACTATTAGTCTTTAAAGCATCTTAAAGGATTTAGGCTTAATAAGTTGTTACATCTTGGTCAACCTTATATATGGAACGGAAGATTAAATGACCTAGAAATCCAGCTATTTGTCATGCATGCAAAGGTGAATTTATTGAAACAAGCATATTCATCAGAGAAGTCGAGGGTGACATTTAAATACATCGACTAACTTGATTTAATAGTAATTTCAAGCATAGAAACGCGGTCAAATCGAGTAGGCTAAGACAAAGGAATTTATACGCTATTCTTAAAGTTTCCCAGTAGTTCCAATGATGCATAGGAGTAAAATTTCAGAGTAAATGGAGATTCATCCAATAAAATCGATATATTGAAGGAACTTACAGTAATCCCAACAGATAAAAGGGTTGAGGGAGCACGCAGAGTATGCAGTTCTGAGAAGTCATGCAACGAAGTAAATTTTATAAGTCGATCCATGCCAGCCGAAATAACAAATTCATTCCTAGATAAGCTGTTTTTGAAGGTAATAGTTCCGGGATAATTCGCGATACAAAGATCAGTTATTAACTTGTAATGACGTCTGATTCCAATGGCAGTATCATCCTCGTTCTGTTGGTAATCAGGCTGAGCCACAAATGCTGAAGGAAAGAATGGGGCATTTGCAGAGAGGTCCCAAACGTTCATAAATGTACCACTTGCAGCTACGAGAAAATTATCATTATGGGCAAACTTCAACGAAGTTATACCGTTGTAGACCATCAGGCGATGGACTGGTTTTCGCTGGTGAAATGCAATAAATTTAATCGGACATAAGGTTGAAAGAAAAGGAAAACAGCATAAGATGACTAGCCATATTAAGATAAAAATAAAGTGAGAAAAAAATACCTGTCTGGTATCGTAT